TCGCAAGTTTGCTTGACATGGGATGTGAGAGACTCCCTCGTGACCTCATAGTACGCATGCTTCGAGCATATGATCTGCCTACTCATCAATTTACAATAAGGGGGAAGATCAAGGAAATTGATGCAGAAGATATTGCGGAGTTGTTGGATGTACCCCACATAGGGGAAAATGTAAGAACGGATGTGGATGATGATGATGAAACATATAAGAGGTTGAAGAATGAATATGGTAAAGTCTCTTTTACCAAGATACTCAAAGACATTAAATCTGGGGAGAATGAAGAGAATTTTGAGTTCTTGTTCATGCTGTACACACTTGGGAGTTTTGTAGCTCCTACCTCACAAACAACAGTGAGTGATAAGCTAGTAAGGGTGATGTGTTGTACTATGAATTGATTTCACCAATTTGATTGGGCCACATACATTGTGAACAACTTGTGGAAAGAGATGGAAGATTATGTTGAAGTGTATAGAAACGTAGGGGAAGACAATGATGAAGGGAGTTGCAACGTCGGAGGATGCATCTACCTCTTATTCGTATGTATTTATTACCATTGTTTTTTTGTTGTATGTTTGAATCGAGTGATGATAAAGTTAATAATTTGATGTTGCAGTTATATCTTGCTGAGCGCTTCCCATTATCTAAATCTGTTAGAGATGGGTCAATAAGTGCTATTCAATTCTGAACTGATGAGAGGATAAAGGAGATGACAAAGAAAGAAAGGCGGAGCAATGGAGGCTTATTGTATAAGGAGAAGGCTCGAAAGTTAGGGTTGGAGATGAGGAAAGAACAAGGAGAAGTGTCGCTGACTTACACCCGGTGTGTGCTTTGCTTGGTAATTTCAATGTGCATTAACAAGATAAAGTGTTTGTTCTTTTTTAATAATGTGATGCAGGAGTTGCAGAGCTTACATCAAAAGTTGATGGCTGTAATTGATTTAAGCTACAAGAGACTTGTTAGTGCAGTAGAGGACGAGCTACATAAGGTACACATAACGATGGAGGAAAATCGTACTGTGGGAGATGAGGGCCATAGTGAAGTTGGAGATGAATATAAGGGAGAAGATGAAGCTGATGATGGTGATGATGATAACAAGGGAGGTGATGATGAAAATGAGGGAGATGATGATGGTGGACTCCACTCAGGACACGTACCTCATCATGGAGATGACTCGGACGAGGCTGACATGATTGATGTTGAGGAAGAAGGAATACAAGTTGGAAATATGGATTCCCTTGATGTTTCCCCCATGGACAAGAATGCACAGCCTAGGAGATCACAGAGGGAGGTGAAGTCGGCCATAAATTCTCCATGGATTTTGACAATGCCTGTTAAGAGGAAAAAGAGGAATATGGAGGAAAAGGACAAGTTTTTAACATGATATCCCGCATGTGTTCAAGTCAGGAGGGTGACATGTAAGTTACTACTCGCATAACTGTGAATGATATTACTTATTGGTTGTTTACTGATTAATTACACACATAATGATACTGGGAACACATTTTTAGGCATTTAGTTAAAATATCTGACGAGGATATCACTCGAGATCAGCTAAGGACACTTGGAGGAATTAAGAGAATAGGTAACTGGGTAAGTTAGTATTGTGATCTTGGGTTGAGTACTATAACTTTATATTTGATGCTCATGTATACCTGTGGGAAAAACTAAAATTTACTTGCAAACAGCTCATTAGTTGTGTGCAAGACTTTACTGGCTGATATGAAGAGCGAAGGAGAAGTGAAGTGACACATATTTGATGCTGACTTTATGGTAAGGTTACTAAGATGTTTACAAAATAATTACTACTACATGACTAATCATTCAATACTACAGGCAATACTAGCTGCGAACCCATCTCGGTGGGATGCTAGAAAACGAGAAAAGCAGTTATTGCCTGAATATGTCAGTTACAATATAGGAGACTGTGACTTGATATTTGGACCTACACTTGTTGGTGCTCACTGGTTTTGTCTTGTGCTTGAGCCTAAGACAATGAATTTTTATGTGTTGGACTAAATGAAGCCAAGTTTTCCTGCTAAGAAGAGTAAGAAGAAAGGTGCAGCTGATGATGATATGATGACTGTGATCACCGGATGTGTAAGAATATTGTTACTGTTCTTGTGTAAGATACTGTTTGTTTACCAAATTATTACAAATGCAAGTATGTGTTGTGCAGAGGGATCGATTTTATGATATGATTGAGATAGTAAAGCCCAATACCATTTGAAAGAAGCAGATGAGTGACATTATTTGGGCCCCTATTCCTCAACAAAACAATCTGTGAGTGGTATTACTTGTTGATGTAATAATGTATGAATGCTACTTCGTGTTTCACTCATGGACATTGTTGCCATGTGCAGGCGAGACTGTGGCGTTCATGTTTTAATATGGTTGAGCAAATGGGAGCCCGGTGTGACGCTTGACTACAGTGAAGAACATGTTGCTGATTTCTGACGAAACCTAATGTGGTGGCTTGTTAATCATGAGCTCAATTCAAGGAGTGAAGAAGCATTGAAATTGCTGTCATCCGCAGAACCCACATCGAGGAAAAAGCAACGTGCGTCACGGCACTAAATTGCGCTGTCTAAGTTAAATGATGTCTTAGTTAAAGTTATGTATGTAAGGGGATTTGCAAACTGTTTTCAGGGAATGTAAAGGTGTCTCATTTTCAAGTAATGTTAAACCATTTTCCCATAGTGTTACTACACATGTGACGAGATTTACAACTGTTGAAGTGAATTTGACCACTTTTCAAGGGGTTTGACAACCTGTTTTGAGAGGCAGGGCAACTTTTCTCAACAAAAACACAAATACCACACTGAGTTTGACAAAACACATAGTGGGAATAACAACTTTTACAGTGAATGTTACTAGTTGTTCAGTGGGTTTTCCAACTGTATGTTTATTGGGCTGGGCAACTTTGGTTCTAAAATGATACAACTCGACAGTGAATTTTGCAAAACACATAGTGGGATTTACAACTTTCACACTGAGTTATACAACTTTGTAATGGGTTTTGCAACCTTCTGTTTTTCTCTGGGCAACCTTCCTTTAGAAACCATACAATTCCACGCTGAGTTTGACAAAACACATAGTGGGAATAACAACTTTCACATGAGTGTTACTACTTGTACAGTGGGTTTTGCATCCCTATGTTCATTGGGCTGGGCAACTTTGGTTTTAAAACGATAGAACTCGGCGGTGAATTTTGCAAAACACATAGTGGGATTTACAACTTTCACAATGTTATTTACTACTTGTATATTGGGTTTTGCAACCTTATGTTTATTGGGCTGGGCAACTTTGGTTTTAAAACCATACAGCTCGACGGTCAATTTTGCAAAACACATAGTGGGATTTACAACTTTTACAGTGAGATTTACTACTTCTATAGTGGGTTTTGCAGCCTTATGTTTATTAGGCTGGGCAACTTTGGTTTTAAAATAATAGAACTCGGCGATGAATTTTGCAAAACACATAGTGGGATTTACAACTTTCACAATGCTATTTACTACTTGTATATTGGGTTTTGCAGCCTTATGTTTATTAGGCTGGGCAACTTTGGTTTTAAAACCATACAACTGGTGATGAATTTTGCAAAACACAGTGGTATTTACAACTTTGTCAGTGTGATTTACTACTTGTATACTGGGTCCAACAACCTTTTGGCAGCTGGGCAGATTTTTTGTCATGAACAATACAATTCGATGCTGAATTTTACCAAAAACCAGCAACAATATGACAGCAGATACATTACATATATTGAAATGACTGCACCTCAAGTACATCACGGTAAACATTGAACCATTAACTTTCATACTAACTACACGTGCAATGGAATTTACCATTCACGGAACAGTATTTACCAAAAACCAGCAGCAATATGACAGCAGATACATTACATATATTGAAATGACTGCACCTTAAGTACATCACGGTAAACATTGAACCATTAACTTTCATACTAACTACACGTGCAATGGAATTTACCATTCACGCAACAGTATTTATCAAAAACCAGCAGCAATATAACAGCAGATACATTACATATATTCAAATGACTGCACCTCAAGTACATCACGGTAAACATTGAACCATTAACTTTCATACTAACTACATGTGCAATGGAATTTACCATTCACGCAATAGTATTTACACCAAAAAATCACCATATCTATTGACATCTAACTTCAACTTGGGTTTGGATTCTTGCATGTTCTTCTTGTGTGCCCAACTTGTTGGCATGTGCTACAATGGTAGATCTTTCTATTTTGGAACTGTGACTCTCATCTTTTTATTTTAGGCCTTCCTGGTGGTCGATTAGTCAAAGGCAGTGCCAAGAACACTTGACTTGCTATATTTTCCACCTAGTAATTGTTAGGATTTGGCATGTCTACTGTCACCACTGGAATCATAGTCCTGCCATAAATCTTTTGCTGTGATGTAATCTTGTAGCATTCATCAACAAAATCATACACATTGCAATTCACAGCCTTAATAGCTGCACAGGCATGGGGACATGGAATGCCTGACATTTGCCAAGCTGCACAGGTGCATTCGCCTAGACCAAGATCAACATATACAGCTCCTTTTGCTATATGGACACACACCCTACCTCCTCCATAAGGTATACTCAACATACGTGCTGATCTCGCAACATTGTCCACCAATTTTACATCTATGTTTGGGCCTACACCATTTTTCCAATTACTCATTGCTATGCTTACTGCATACATCTTCTTTGCCACTTTCTCATGATGCTCATGTATAAGTTAGGCAACATTATATCGTCTCTCTTTCAACATCCAAGCATTGAATGACTTAGCAAGGTTTGTTGTGATGTTATCCCACCGTTTAAATGGGAATTTACTTAAGGCCCACCTTTCAACATCACCATGATTAAGAAGCCACTCAAATAATTGTGGATTGAACTTTCTCATGTTATCCATTGCACCATCAAACTCGGTGTCAAGCCTTGCATATGCAATGGCATCCAGGTATTACAATCCCTCCTCCCTTGCTTTCCCACTAGTCTTCCTCTTTCCTCTATTTAATTTAATCATTTGTGCACTGAAGTTTTCCTTAACATGTCTGTAACAGTATGCATGCCTCTCACCACCAAATATTGCTTGCACAGCACCTATTATTGCATTGTGTCGATCTGACACAATTGTCAATTCCATCGACCTAACTATCTCCTTAATCATGTATAAGAACCATGTCCAATCCTCAAGTGTCTCTCCCTTTACAATAGCAATCACAAAAGGTAACAATTCATTGTCAGCATCATAAGCAGAGGTCGACAGTAACAGCCCCTTATACGGTCCACTTAAATGACATCCATCAATGTACAGTACATGTCTAGCACCAGCTATAAAGCCTTCTATACAACACCCATATGCTATGAATGCACGCTCAAATGTGTTATTAGTATTACCTACCCATATGGCCACAGTTTTGTTATCTGTTTCCTTCAACCGTTCACATATACATGGAATAAGCATATAAGACTGGTCAAGCTTGCCATGTATGTCCTCTAAAGCTTTTTGCTTTGCCCTATATGCTTGTTTATATGTCAACTTCACACCATAATCTCTTTCCAAAGTCTTCCTTATATCATTTGGACGCCTGTCTATGTGATCATTTAACTCATCAGTGATGATTGATGCTGTCAAGCTAGCTGAACCACAATGTTCCACACGAAGATTGTCTTGTGCATTATGAACATGCTCATTTATGAATGTTGCCACACGTAAAAAGGGAGTACTCTTTCTACCCACTCTTGCACTTATCCTCCACGGACAACCTTCAACACTACATTTCACATACATTTTTTCCCTACAATTTTTCACATACTTGTACTCAAACTTGTTTGCAATATTGAACTTACGTACTTTCTTCTTGAAATCTTTTGCATTTGCAAAAGTCTGGTTCCATCCTAACAACAATTTCTTCCATTTCAAAGAATTCATCTCCGGCAAAGGTGTAGGTGCACTCACTACTCCGTATGGCAGGCTTACATTAGGTCTTTCACTGCCTCCAGAACTTGTACTTTCCAAAGCATTTCCCTCTAACGTAGGCTCATCACTCTGTTCTGATAGTCCTACCATTCTTGAGATCCTGCATTTATAATTACCACTGTTGTTAAGAGATTTACTACAATATTACAACAATTATCAACTTTCATAACCAAAAAAAAATTTCTCACTTACGTTTCTGGATAACCCATTCCTTCCTCCACATTGTCACTACCTTTATGTGCTATATAAATATGTGCATTACGATCATTATATTCAAATAGATTATCAACTTCACCATCATCTATAAGATCTACCAATACCCTCTCATCAAAACTCGAAGTGTATTCAATATCACAGCCATGACAATCCATGCTGAACCATTCTCCTATCATTGCCCTCAAATCTTCAAGTTTTGTACCCTCATTTATTACTCTTACTCTGACAGTCCCACCACAGTATTTAACTTCGCCATCGTCATTTTCTACAAACTTCCCATCTACGTGAAAATAACAAGCAAGTCTTTTTGAAGATGTTGATACAATGTTACAAGACATCACCACTTGCTAACTTGCAGCAAACAACATTAAATAATAAAAAATTAACTTCTCCGCCAATTAGTTTCTATCAACGTACGTGACACCCAAAACACACACAGAGAGAAACTTTTCTTCTATTCGCAACTTTATTATAGGGTTTCACAACTCCATTATTGATTTTAACAACGTTCACCACCTGAATGCAAACTTCACGCCTACGTAATTGCTTGCCACCTTTTTTTATTTCCGCTACGTCATTTGAAATAGTCAATATAAAGTATAAAACCTCATCTCCAACACACCCGTCCCCACCATTGCACCATAAAGCAGACACAAAAAAGAACTACCCAAACCCCACCATCACGTAATGCGACATGTTCACTCTCTCTCTTTGCTACAAACCCTCTTGCCCACAACCAAAATCTATTAAATCAGCAATCCCAACAAAATGGTGATGCGGAGGAGTAAGATTATACCATTTCCAAAGACTACCGACTTAAACTTACCTCTTTTCAACTTTAATGTGTTGCTCCAGCATTCCTCTTTCCTTCTTTATGTGCAGCTCAACCGGTGCTCCTATGTTTATTTTTGTTTCAGTTTCACTTCCTTTTACCTCACTAATAAGGGCATTTCAGTCTTTTGGCCAAAAATCTGAATTCCATATTGGTACCCAGTGCCCTATTTGTCATTTTGCTTATTCAGGTGCCTTATTTGTCTTTTTGAAATTCAGGTGGTATTTTGTTGTCATTTTCCCAAAAAAAAATCTATTCTCAACATGGTCAAAAGAATCAAGCCATCACCCACCCACTACGTTCCTTGACGGCTCATAAACTCCAAACCTTTGAAAATTCTATCATCTTTACAAAACTAAATAAATCCCTACTTAAACTCCCACAAATATCACACAAACTATCATGGTAATAACAATCATGGCACACAAATCCTCGTTTCTGCTCTCATTCTTCTTCTTCCACTTTCTCTCCTTATTACTTATTGCAGCCCATGCAACCAGCTTCAGCTCAATAATACTAAATCCATCTGCAAGACCAACACTACAAGCGCAGAACAAGAAGCAAAGCCGCTTGATTATAGATATACATGTTTGGACCGAAATGGTGTGGCTCCATCAAGCAAATACCAAAGCAATCTCAAGAATCTCATATCTTCACTTTCTTCTGATGCTTCAACCGGCAATGGATTTGGTAACAAAACTGCAGGTAGTGATAAAGATAAGGTGTATGGGCTTTATCTTTGTAGAGGGGATGTGAATTCAAGTTTATGTCATTCTTGTGTTCAAGATTCTAGCAGATTGATCCAACAGCATTGTCCCAATAATGCTACTGCAGTTTTATGGCACCCATTTTGCCTTCTCAAGTATATCCTGTTAAATTTATATTTCTGTAAGTAACTTGTATATGGGTCTACTTAAGCAAGAAGTTGTCAATCAAAATTTATATCTGGAATACTGGTTGATACCATTTGTAGTCTCTAAAGTTTGAAACTAGTGTTTTTAGATGGACCAAAATAAGGTCAAATTTTAAGGACCAAGACTATTGGTTTCAAGTTTCAAGAATGAAAACCAAAACGAAGTCCAATTTTAGGGACTAAAGATGGTATTAATCTTCTTGAATGTATAAGATAAGAATTTATCATCATGATCAGACTATAATTATACCATTTGTATTGATTACATGAATTTATGTCACCGACTTGATTCATGAAAGAAATTCTGCTAGTATTAAATAGGTACTCCAACGAGGATTTCTTCGGCAATCTAACTCTAAGGCCTCGGATTCCCATGTTTGATGCAACACAAAACTTAACGAGTACAGGAGAGTTCGACAGTGACGCTAGGATTCTGATGAACGGTTTGATACAGACAGGTTCAGAGACAAACCTGATGTTTGGGACACACGTGTTCAACATAAATGGCACCCAGAAAAGGTATGGTTGGGTTCAGTGCAGCAGAGACATAACCAGTGAAGAGTGCAGAACATGTCTGAGCAATATGCTTGAAGAAGTTGAGAATTGCTGTGAAGGCAAGAGGGTTTGGAGAATCTTTTCTCCTAGCTGTATTGTTATGTATGAGACTCAGCCTTTCTTTGTAAATGATTCTGGGTTGATTGCTCCAACGCCCCAGCCAGGTACCATTTTGTTTCTTTCATGATATAGTAGGTGCAGTTTTGTGCATTTCATGGAACTCAGAAAATAAATTGTGCTATTCACAACTTGTAAATAATATGATATGTTGACATAAACGTGAAAATAACCTCTTTTCTTGAAGATATTCTAAAAATAGTCATCAAAAGTTTGATTGTATATGCAAATCCGTTTGCATCTTTCATTGTCAGTGAGCATGTGAAAACTAAAGATGAACCTCTTGTAAATTACTTTCCAGGTCAGAAAACCTTGAAAAAAATAGGCTGCAATTTTATTTTATTTATTTATTTTGCAATTTTGCAGGTGAGGAAAGTAGTAACAGGTCAATGCTTAGAGTTATCGTTGTTATAAGTGTAGTAGTAGTACTAGCTCTACTGGTTTTCTGCACAATCTACTTCAGGTTCTTGAGAAAGAAAAAAGGTTAAGTTCTAAGTGAAAAGTCTTGAAGAATTTCATTCAACAAATGGGGCATAAATTTTTATTGTCTTATTATGCTTGATAACAATGATTGCAGACAAACAAGCAGTGCAGGAAGATGGGCTAAATCCAGTATTTTCTCAGGATCAAACTGACGAAGAGAATTCTATGAGTACTGACCTTTAGATAATGTCCCTGAAAACTATTCTTCAAACTACTTGTAACTTTTCTGAAGAATGTAAATTGGGAAAAGGTGGATTTGGCTCTGTATACAAGGTACTGAATTTACATACTACATACACTTGCTTATTGAAGTTATTTTCACCTTCTCCACCTTCCCAACATTCTTAGATTTAGTTTACGTTAGAACTTTCTTTAACCTAATCCTACACTTAAAATTTTGAAATCAAGGGAGACCAGACCAGGTTATGGGATTTCGGAGACCAGGTTAATGAGATATTGTACTAGAGTATTTAAGCAAGTTAGTCCTCCTATCTCAATATCTAACTTACGTTGAAGAGTTCTCAACTTTAAGATGCCCATCCATTAGCATCGGAGTTTGTAAGTTGGCAACTTTAGTCAACATAGAAGGTGAATGAAGTGGCACAGTAAGTGCCTTCCAAGACATCAACTCTCCACAGGAGGAAATTGATGGTGATAATGTATGGGATACTTAGTTCCAATTGAAATTGTATGAAATACTTTATATATTAGTTCTTCCAACTTGGCTCTTAGGAGAGGTTTCTTCACACTACTTGGATCCCCGTAAAAAGACAAAATTTGCACTAACATCTCTTATATTAAGCTTTGAAAAAGTCATTAATCTTTAGGTAATTTTGCATTATTGGATCAGGCTACTTGAAGTTTCTAAGGTAAAAAAATTGCTCAAGGTAAAATCTCTCCTTTGAAAGACAGTAGCTTTGCAAAATTCAAAGCAAGGAGGATGTGACTATAAATTTGAAAACTTCAAAGATAAATCAGATTTATTCAAGTTTAATTGTTTCTCTTTCAACTTTCTTACGTTTGAAAGCAAAAAAAATGATGGTTACAGGGTGTTTTACCTGATGGGAAGGAAATAGCAGTAAAGAGGCTGTCAAAAACTTCAGGGTAAGGATTAAAAGAGTTAAAGAATGAAGTGATATTGATTGCAAAATTGCAGCATCGGAACCTTGTGAGATTGTTAGCTTGCTGCATTGAGCAAAATGAAAAGCTACTTGTTTATGAGTACATGCCTAATTCTAGCCTCGATTTTCACCTCTTCGGTAAGTTACACATACTTCTTTTGAGTTTCACTAAATTTTTACAAACATCCCTATTGGGTATGGGTGGCATTTTATATTTGTTAAAATTTGCCGTTCAACTTTTTCTCATTAATCCCATTTCATCTGGGTATCAGCAGACTCTGCAATTCTTATAATTTTATTGCTTTCAGATATGGAGAAGCGTTCCCAGCTGGAATGGAAGCTGCGATTGAGCATCATTAATGGAACTGCAAAAGGACTTTTGTATCTCCATGAAGACTCTAGACTAAGGGTTATTCATAGGGATCTAAAAGCTAGTAATATACTGTTAGACCTGAAATGAATCCAAAAATTTCAGATTTTGGATTAGCAAGAGTTTTTGGAGGCGACCAAAGGCAAGCAAATACTATCAGAGTTGTGGGTACCTAGTAAGTTCAATTTATAACGCCTTTTGTTATTGTTATAGCATTTGAAAGCCAATATTTTCATATGAATACACAACATAAAATTAACTATATTGATTTATTTATTTTTATTCTGAGCAGTGGTTACATGGCTCCAGAATATGCTATGGAAGGCTTGTTTTCAATAAAATCATATGTATTTAGCTTTGGTGTTCTCCTACTAGAAATCATTAGTGGAAAAAAGAATGGTAGATTCTACCTTTCAGAGCACGGTCAAAGCCTTCTCATATATGTATGCTTTCTGCCTGCCTCTCTTCCTCGACAATATACCACAGGGAACAAATCAATTGGAATTTTCAAGCTTTTGAACAGTAACAAAACAATTCATCTTCTTAGGCCAAGATCTGATTCCAACTTTGAAAAAACAAAATATGCCTTTTCCTTTCAAGCAATTGAAATATCCTTGATGACTTCAGAAACATTGCTCCATGTGCCATAATTTTATTGAAAAAATCCTGAACCAACTACTTGAAAAACTAACTAAAACCTAAAGCATTTTTCTTATAAAATTTGCTTTTTAATCTAACCTAAAAACGCATTTACCATGTAGGCATGGAGGCTCTGGTGTGAAGGGAAGGGCTTGGACCTAATGGATCCAATATTAGAAAGGTCATTTGAACCTTCTGAAGTTCTCAAGCGCATCCAAATCGCCTCTTATGTGTGCAAGAAGATGCAGCAGACAGACCAACAATGTCAAGTGTAGTACTTATGCTTGCAAGTGACTCAGTGAACCTTCCAAGGCCAACACAACCTGCATTTTCTGTTGGAAGAGGTTTCACAGAGAAAGAGCCTTCATCAAAAAATACTACCCGTGACTCCGTCAATGGAGTAACTATTTCTGAAGTTTTAGCTAGATGATCCTAAGGACTAGACAAGACTTTCTTTCTGTAAGATTGTGATGGCATGGATGAATTTTGTACATAAGAGTGGCTATGAAAGAAATTTTATTATTTTTTTTCTTGTGCATGAAAGAATTATGCATAAGAGAACATTATTTTAATAATTTCTTATCAGGTAAATTACACAAATCTTCCTCGAATGTTGTTCAAATTATAAAAACATCCTCTTTAACTTTCAAAATTAGATAGACATCCTAAAAGTTAAAATACAGAAATTTCATCTGAATTTGCATAAAAAAATATTCCAAGAGACATTACAAGTTGTACTCCTAGCATCACATCCAAACTAGCACCAAAATGGCTACGCTGGGCAATTCCTGGACTTGAACCATACAAATGCTTCAAATTAGAACGTCAGACTACTTCCTTCCCCTGTTAAGCCTTTGCAGTTGATAATTGATACTTCCCCAGGCGTTTCTGTTCTTTTTACTCTGAAGCAAACAAGAGTGAATAAATTTTCGCACTCCTTTTCCCACACACACGCTTTGGAAAAAATAAGCATAGAGAAAGGAAGGGACAAAAAGAAGAATGAACAAGCATGCTTTTATTAGAATAAAAATCTATATTACCTGCGAATCCAAACAGGTTTTTAATAATTCTTTCTGCCGAGTACACACATCACTATTACCCTGGTTAACAGCCATACAGCTGAGAAAAGTCATCATTTCCTTCATGCAAGGTTTATGGAGTGAACCATATCTCTTAGGGTTAATATAAAGTCCACCAGCCTTCCGCCCCATTATCCTACAATTCAACCAAAGCAATCCACCAAGAAAATGTTAACAGCATTTAGATTTAAAAAGCATGTAAGTGTGAAAATCTTAAGGGGGAAAATTACAATTTACAAATGTCAATATCAACTCGTGAATATGAATTTAATCCTCACTTTTCATGTGATCACTAAGGAACATTAATCCACATGAAGAACAATGCAGAGCAATTTTATAAATCCCTGATGCTCGCATAGGAAATATTCATCCATGCCTGCCTTTCTTTCTATTCCCTTCTATGTTCAGTGTACATGTCACTAAATAGAAATATAACACGTACGAGCAAAATCTTAAATAGCTGATGCAACACACACTTGCACAGTTGCAAACAGAATGGAAAATAGGAAGAAAGGTAGAAACAGAGGTGTGGTTTTTTTTTTTTTTTTTGGGTTGGTTTTTTTTTGTTTGGGGGGGAAGGGGACAGAATGTTGGGGAAAGACGGAGCTTAGAACCTGGAGAGGAACGAGCGAACTGAAATTCTTACAGGGAGTAAAATTTCATTTATCGAAGTCTAGAATACAAGCACTATCATTAGCTACTGAAAAGAACAACTCAAGGCATTGTTGAAGTTTGAATGCGGGATATACAGCCTCATAAAGTCTCAATGAATAAGATTGTCTATCGCTTCATGACTACATTTACCAGATCTAGAAGTGTTCCTCCCCGTATCTCTCATCTTATAGGGTAATAATGCCAGAGAGAAAGTGACAAGCGCAAATAGAGTCTTTCCAATCAGGCCAGTTAAGAATCACAACATCTAAATCCATGTTACGAAATGAGGCACACAAAAACTTATTGTATCAAGAGCTAAGGAGACCTCCATGGGCCATGGAAGGCAACTCGAATAAAGGCCTCAAACCAGTCAATATATTAATAGCAGGTGAAGACAAGGCTTAGGTCCAAATGAAGTAGTTGTAGAGCATGTTATTTCACCCATCATGTAAATAAGTATGTTATGTTCAATACAAGTGATTTCATTATTGAAGTTATATGTTTATAAGAACTTGTGCGTTATTTAATTAGTGGGTTTTATTTTTCTGAGATAAAATTACATATTTCATTTCATTTTAATATAGCCTGCAAGGACACTTAAGTTTCCTTATAAGATTTAGCCTATTCAAACGGTTTAAGAAGGTTGCAGGCAAAACAACTTTTGAAGAAATATAATTCTTGTGGGTCGTTTTTAGCTCTCTCTATGGTTTCTTCCTAAATTGCTTTAATTTAGCACAGACAATTCCCTTCGCAGCATCCAAAACTTCATTGACATTCTGGGTTCATGAGTTTCCAGTTCATAGGGTTCAGAATTCCACATCTGAATCTGATTACAGGGTTTAGGGTTCTTTATGCAATTGATTTGGTGGTTTCGACTGTGATTTACCTAGAGGTTTCTATGGCAAAATGGTTCTTGCTGACCCAATATCTTACCTTCCCTAAATTATGCTTCTTCCACATAATTATAATTGTAACCTTCAATCAAAAGCTTTAGTAAAATAACACAGAAACATCATACAAGTGAAACAGAAGAAACATTGCTCCAATTATTCACTACATGCTGATTGGACAAACATATCATAACCTTGAATCACACCTTTGTTTCCTTAAACTTGTAAAATCAGAGTTCAAATGTTTGGAATTGGATTGGCTAGCTGCGTGCAAGCTGTAAATTGGGTCCTAAATCAGCTTCATGGACTTGGTTTGGCAGGAAAACAGAGTATAGCCATTTCAGATTATTTCAAAACGAAATTCCAAGCCAAATAAACAAAACAACCCGCTAATTTATGGAGGGGCGAGGAAAGCTAAAGTGTTTTCGGACAAGTCTAAGGACTTACAATACTGAAACTTCATTCATAGAGTGATAAGTGCTAGGAGAATCAAACACATCATCAAACTTTTTTCCAGCAGATTACAATCTTTCATCGGAAGATTGTCAAAAAATACCAAAAATGAAAAAAAAAATTCATGCTAGAAGACGGCGAGAAAGAAGCGCTCATGAATCCAAGCAACACGAAATCACCCATTCAGAAGCAAGAGCAGTGAATTGGAGGCGAAAAGATGAGGTTACCTGCGAAGAACGAAAGAATGGATTACTGAAGAGCGAAGAGAAGCAGCTGCGATTGTGATGAAGCGGGAGGAAGAACCGCGAAGAGCCGGGGAGGGAGGAGCTAGGGCAGCCGGAAAGGAGCAGACGCCGACAAATACGCCGTAGTCCTCATATATGCAAATATTTTATATTACCTCCGCCATAAAACTAGTTTTATTAATTCAAATAGATTAAAGAATACTTATTTATAATAAATATTAATTAAGTGTATTAGTTAAAATTATTATTATTATAAAAACTATCTTAAAAAAATAAATAAATATGAGAGACAAAATAAATCGAGAAAAGTCAAGTAAGTTTTTATATTAAAAACTAGAGGTAGTGTGTATATATATATATATATAAGAGAGAAAATATTTTAAATAACAAAAGAAAAGTGCTGAAAAATCACTCAAAATTTTATGCCCGAATATACTTAATGACCTTAGCTTTTTTCCCTCCAACAGGGTGAAGTGTCCGTTTTACATGATTGAAAATAAGTTGTTAAGAATTGCACCGTTTAAAATTGGCTGTATATGAGTTTATAAACAAATTTTAGATATTTTTTAAAAAAAAATCTCAGTATTTGTAAAAAATCATATGAGATCATCAGTGACCTCCTCAAGCACGACGCTCACAAAAGAGGAAAAAACAAAAAGAATCCACTCCAAACCCCGTTAATCTTCATCATTGACCTTTAATTTTGTTGGATGTTTGAGTTGAGGATCCATGATTTGATTGTTATTCACTTAATTTTGAGCCTTCTTTTTAATTGATGACTACTCATAATTAAGCATAAGAGAAATGCTTCTTGCCATATTTGGGTATGTTTCCACACTCAACCTATTCAACATTTTATATGGAAAAAGTTAACCTGAAGTGATTCCTCCTTTGCCTTCAAATGTGTGAGAGCAAGTTTTCAATGGATTATTCGGTCTCCTTTGTTTGATAATGAATCAACAACCTTTGATTTATAGACATAAAATAAAAAAAGCAGATTTCTTCTTGCAAGCAATCATTGGAAGGATCAAGTAATATTGTCAAACAAAACTTTGTGCAACTGTTAAGCTGCTTTGTTAGTTTTAATATGGGCTTTATTATTTATCTCCTTCGTTTATTTCTTTTTTAAGTTCTTGTCCTCCTTTAGAATCTACATTGTAATGATTTTTGTTATTTTAATGGCATTTTGGTCTTTTAATTAAAAAAAAAAAAAAACAGTGGCTCATATAATCATTTGCCTTCTCAACATAGGGGGAAAAATTCGGTTCTTCATCCAAACGTCAGCTATTCAAGAATTTAAATATGTCAATTCTTTTTTTGAATTTGCTGCTCAATCAGCTAACACATTTGCTCGGCTTCGTAACGACCATTTGACCTTTAATAAAAAAATTCATTATTGCTAAGGAGTAATTGGCTATTGTGGTCAATGTATTAAAGAATTTCTTTAGAGAAATACAATTTTAAAAATAATTTTACAATATAAAAAATAAATGTGAAAAATTTTTTATCTCAATCTATATAAAAATAACCAAACACCTCCTAAATGTTTTTGGGATCAATCACTCCACCATCATGGCTCCCCATTTGAAGCCTCCACTTCACATCGACCGTGTTGATAACACATTCGTTACTTGTGATTAACCAAATTACAAATTAATTATCTAACTCTTATATCTGATATTTTGCCTTTTCATTTCTACACTTTGCCAACACTTTTGGTGATTGCTACTTAGCGTTAGGTCTTGCTCGATGGATTGGTATTAATATTCTTTTTCTTCTAACAAAATGTATTTCTGGTTTAAAAACCTCCTTTATACTTCGTCGTAAATTTCACCCGCGAGTAACCTGCTAAGCGATAATCCATGTCAATCCTTAAATCTAAAATTCTCAATGTAGCATTATGATAAACAGAGTATTAAATGCCCCATATTGAAATGTGCTAAAATAGCTCTGTCAATTTGGAGGCCGATCTGCCTTGAACAAAATTTTACTTCATACAGGCCGCAAATTCATCTGAAAAGATCCTCCCAATAGGATAATTTTGTAAAAGATATTTAAAAAAAATATTTATTTTACCTCCACATACTGGTATTATGAAAAATACAATAAGCTAAATTCTCTCTCTGGAGGAAGAAATACCTTTTGCATGCCCTCTAGATGGAGGCAAGATAGTTTCCAATTTTTTTATCATCTGGTCAAGCTTCCTCAGTTTGTCCACATCACCCGCCTGGATTAAAAACCTTTCAAGCATTAGAAAACTTGATTCACTCATGTGCCTTCCCCTGCCTAACATTTGTTTGCAGCACTCAAAAGCTTCTTGTAACATACCCCTTGAGCATAACCCAGTGACCAAAAGATCTAAAGCATGAGCATGAGGACAATATCCTTGATCTAAAAGATATTGCCATAAAGTTAAACTTAAATCAAGACGAGAATTTTGACAGAAATATTTCATCAGCATAACAACCGTCCTTGTTTTTGGAACAAAGTTTCTCTCTGTCATCTTGTGATAAAATTCAATTAAACCTCCAATGTCATTAGACCTCATTAGTCCAAAGAAAATTGTATGATAAGTCACACTATCATGTTCAATGTGTCTCTCAATCATCTCATCCATCAATGAAAGCGCAGATTTAATATCTTTTGATTTAACCAATGAACTTATCAAAGCATTATAAGCACCTGTATCAGCAACTAAGTTTCTCAGATGAATCTCGTTAAATAATTGCCATGCCTTGCTTAAATTTCGAACCAGCCCAGCTCCATGAATCAATGTGGTTATTGTTTCTATTGTGGGAACGCAATTTCTGCGTTCCATCTCCTCCACAAGTCTCAAACCATCCCCAAAACAACCTTTCTTAGAGTATGCATCAATTCTGATATTATAAGTTATGGTATCAGGATGAAAACCTCGTCTAACCATATCATGGTAGAATAGTTCAACAGCAGTTACATCACCTGATTCCTTGAAGCCCAAAAGCAAGATATTCATGGTCTTGGTATTGGAGGGAAATCGAGGATACATCTTATGGAACACCGACCTTGCCTCCTTCATTTGTCTTTGTGTGCAAAATGCTTTAAGAAGTACATTAAACTCATCACTGCCAAATTTACGCCCAACAAATATATCACTCTCCATCCTTCTAAATGCTTCAAGGGTATCATCATAGGATTTGTATTTGGCAATTTTTGACAGCATGATGCTCATTGATTTCAGTGTGATCAGGGAAGGATGTGTATTTCTGGTTTCTTCCAGCAACTCCCATGCCTTGTCAAAATAACGCATCCTTGTCAGGATATGAAGTGCCTTGTTCAACGCCTCAGAACTTGGACAAGACTGGGATTGATGAAGGTAAAATTTGAAAAACTCAAGGGCTTTAAGACCATTGGAATGAGATGCAAATAGCCGCCCCAGCACATTCTCCACAAAACAAGGAGAGAGGGTAGCAGGAGGGATGTGCTGGTGAAGTGCAGGCTGAAGAGACTCTTCAGGAAAGGGATGACTGTTAATAATTCTGGTGATTTTGTCTATATCAGCTACATTTTCTAAAGAAAGATTGGACAATTTGATGATAAAATTTAGATATGGGGTTGTCTTTCGGGGTATTTGATTGCTCTGGTTTAGTCTTATCAAGGCAAGCATTTCTCTTTGCCCAAACTTCGTAAAATATTTAAAAAAGCAGGCACTTGCCCATTTCTCGTTTCAGAAAATGGCACCTCTCTACATCCTAGAACCTTAGCCATTTAAAATAAAAACAGAGGGTCCCTGTTCCAGCATAATTACAAATATTCAGATCAGATTGAAACAAGAAAATAGAGATCCAGCATAAGCAAAAACATTTAAACATGTGGTGTTATAAACTGCAACTTGGATTCACATGGACATGCATATGAAGCAACCATAAAATTTACATGGGAAGAGAAAAATAAAAAAGATTGGGACAATAGAAGGTAATTTGTACTGATTACAGAAAGCTGGAAAAAAGATTCTGAAATCATTACACGCATAGAACAGACATGAAAAATCTTAAAGATTACCCACAAGAGGATCACAATCCTGAAATAAAATGATACAATAATAAACCATCACTTAAAAGTTATTTCTCATGCGATACTTATTCAATTTCCATACATATATACATACCCATGACCGAATCATCAATGCTAACCAGTAACCATTGTAACGCATGAAGCATAAACAATGAAACCATCAAGCAATGCCAAGCACGAGTTTGTTTCTGACTTCAGTGGAAAGAAAGTCGATGCCCTATACAGCCTCTATTCATTTTGGATAAAACAAATCAATCATCATAAAAGCAGCCACAAACACTTGAGACCCATACGTTCAGAACTTTGTAATGAATTATCAAAGAGAAAGCAGAAGGGAACCATAGTTTTGGAAGTGAAAAAAATTGTGTAACCTACAAGAAATAGCAATAAACTATTGGTCAGAATCTGCCAGTCCAGAGGTACCTCTTGGTGTTGCATCCTTCCGCAATCCCAATGCTTTGGTTTGAGAAATAAAGAATGGTTGTGGAGGATTCTCCTTCAGACATGCTTCCCATGATGCTCAATTGAGCAAGAAACAATTCTCCAGACTCACTTCTCTTCCGCGAACCTGTACAGAATTTTTCAGTTACAATCAACAGCACAACTCAATCCCAAGTTCACCAAAAACCCACTTTCAAACTAGATCTTGAGCAACAGTAGTGGAAACCACGGCAGATCCCCACACTCGGAAACTTTTACAATGAAATGGAAACATGGAAAACAAATGGGCTGCGTGCACTTTTTCTTTTTCACCTTTTTCAATGCTACAACCTTCATAGCTTGTGTTATCAAAGAGAATGCTTTAAGTGAGGTTTATATTTCTTGCCTTCTTGTTAAGCATCCAATGAATCATTGGTTGGGATGAGAATTTTTTCAACACTAAGAGATGTCAAATTCCATCTTATAAGCATGGTTTAATGTGTAGAATAAACTAAAAAATAATTTTATAAATAAAAAATTAGGTACACTTAGAATAAAAAAATTAAATATATGCTTCTTGCTAAATGATGACTATAAAAATATGACAAAAATATTTCTATCTTTTATACAGCAACACAATATCTTTCGCTCAGAAAAATAAGACCAATCGCAGGGGGAAAAAAGAAAAAAGCAGCTTCTCCTTTTCAGTCTTATGCTCTAGCAGTCAACCAAATGATTCCAATCAACCCTTGATCTACCTAGATAACACCATGGATTAAATATCATCAGACAATAAATTAATTCTAAATCATATATCACAACTACCAAATTATCTTAGCATAAAAACTGGTAAGATGCTCTCAGTTGAAAGGGCAGGGTTTTCCGCGTGAGAGAACTTGAAAGGGAGAGCCTCTATCACCGAACACAGCCCACTTCAGGTGCTTGACAAAGCCTTCTCTCATTCTCTAAATAAAAAGGAAATTAATCCTTTTCTTTTAGAAAATGACATCATCAAGCAATGTCAAGCAGAAGTTTGTTTGCGTTCAAAGAAAGAGGCTTTATGCCCTATACAGCCTCTATTCGGTGTGGTTAAAGCAAAATCAATCATCATCGAGCAGTCTACAAACAATCAAGATTGACAAGAGTTTAGAACATCATGCTGAATTATTAAGGTATTTTTGTTGCATTGTTTTTAAAAAATATTTTTGCATTAAAAGGGGTAAGTTGCTCTCAGTTGAAAGGCCAAGGTTTTCCACGTGAGAGAACTTGAAAGGGAGAGCCTTTATCACTGAACACAGCCCACTTCAAGTGCTTGACAGTTGACAAAGCCTTCTCTCATTCTCTAAGCGAAAAAGAAATTAATCCTTTTTCTTTTAGATAATGAAATCATCAAGCGATGTCAAGCACGAGTTTGTTTCTGAGTTCAATGAAAGAGGCTTTACACCCTATACAGCCTCTATTCGGTGTGGTTAAAGCAAATCAATCATCATCGAGCAGTCCACAAACAATTAAGATTTATAAGAGTTTAGAACATAGTTCTGAATTATTACAATATTTCTCTTAAATTGTTTTTTTAAAGTTTTAAAATTAAGTCAATTTAAAATTTTCTGTCAATAAAACGAAATATCATTCACTGGTACAAATAAGATAGGTGTCAATAATACAAGGGCAAATGACACTCGAGTATCTTCAACGACACATAATGACATGTAAGGACTTCAATTTTTCAAACTGACATTTAAGCACCAAGATCCTTATCTGATGGGAAAAAAAATGCTGCCAACCAAGATATCCCCACTTGACACAAACACAATGACTTTAGAAAACCAAAAGCTCAAACACAATTTCTAAAAGTTTCACAAGTAATGAGAGCTCAATGGTAAAAAAATCCGAGACCCCATTTTTGGATTACTCTGTTGTTTGAATTCTAGAATTTATCATAGAATAAAAAGTCAAAGACTAATGGCACGTTTGGTTCAACGCATTGCATCTAAATTCCTTGTAATCCTGATGCAATGCCAACTTTCACACATTTGGTTCGGACATTTAGGTTGTAAAGCGGATTACAAGATGTATCAAGATTACTTCAAATGATGTAATAGGGATTACACTATTAAAGGTCAAGAATAAGGATTACAACAGGCGGGAATTTAAGAAAAGACATTATTTATCCTTGCATTTTCCATCATATTTCTCCACCCTGATCTCTCACTCATCTTCAAAATCTTCCTCCAGCTTTCACTCCTGGACTTTCCACTTAGAGAGAGAGAGGTTGATCTGAAATGGTACTTGGGGTTTGAATAGATGACACATTGGAGAGGTGTTTCAAGAATTTCAGAACACAAAATGAATCAGCCTTCTAAGCCTCGTTTTGGTTTTTACTTCTTATTTTTTTGATAAATAGTTTTTACTTCTATCTGGTTTTGATTCAATTTTGCTGGAAGAGATGCAATCCAAAATACAAAAGCTTGTCAGAAGAAAACCAATAGACACTCCTATTCTCATGATCTGAAAAGAAGAACCTTGCCCACCTGTGAGTGCTGTTTTGTGGGCCCATAAACTGATCAATGGAAAACAAAGAAGCTGCATTGAGGGTCGGCGATGGATGAGGAAGAAGGAGCAAACAGATACCTAATTAAAATTTTATCTGAGTTTAGGGGTATCTTTGTCCTTTTAGTTTTATTTGTGTTTAATTAAATACAAAATAATAAATTAAATTTTATCATTCGTAATGTTGAACCAAACAATTTTATTATAATTGTCATTACATTACATTACATTCAAAGAAGCTGCATTGAGGGTCGGCGATGGATGAGGAAGAAGGAGCAAACAGACACCTAATTAAAATTTTATCTGAGTTTAGGGGTATCTTTGTCCTTTTAGTTTTTTTGTGTTTAATTAAATACAAAATAATAAATTAAATTTTATCATTCGTAATGTTGAACCAAACAATTTTATTATAATTGTCATTACATTACATTACATTCAAAGAAGCTGCATTGAGGGTCGGCGATGGATGAGGAAGAAGGAGCAAACAGATACCTAATTAAAATTTTATCTGAGTTTAGGGGTATCTTTGTCCTTTTAGTTTTATTTGTGTTTAATTAACTACAAAATAATAAATTAAATTTTATCATTCGTAATGTTGAACCAAACAATTTTATTATAATTGTCATTACATTACATTACATTCCCAACTATGACATTCCATTGCATTCCCACATATTCCATGAACCAGACAGGCCATAAGTGACATTGTAACAGGGAAAAAGTTATATATAGACTATAGTAGTAATGGTTTGTATGCATTTTTCCGAAAAAGAAATACAAGAGATTGAGTCCAAAAAGTGACGCACGCTAAAAACTAAGGCAAGTCTCCAGCCAATAACAAATATAAAGGGGTCCAATAATTATAGCTCATGATTTCCATGCCATGATTGGTTAGGGGAAAATGCTTTTCTAATCCACCTCTCAAGCATCGTGAAAAACAAAACCCAATGTCAATTTACAAGACAAATATAAAGATGGGAGGAAATCTTTTTCAATAAAAGAGAAAAATAAAACTACGCAAATTTTTAAGATATATTGCTCAAAAGTAACTTCTTTTTAGTCTTAATCTCTAGCACTCAAACCTAACCTAGTTAACAACAGGCATTAATCACCTTATACTAAATTATAAAGTGTACATAAAAAAATTAGAATTTAAATAGTTTTGCATATAGTTGCTCTCAGTTGAAAGGCCAAGGTTTTCCACATGAGAGAACTTGAAAGGGAGAGCCTTTAACACCAAAGCCAATACACTCCAAGAACTTGACAAAGCCTTCTCTCATTCTCTAAATAAAAGGAAACTAATCCTCTTCTTTTAGAAAACGAAATCATCAAGCAATGCCAAGCACAAGAAGTTTATTTATCACTTCAATGAAACGGGCCTTGTGCCCTTCACAGCCTCTATCCGGTGTGGTTAAAGCAAATCAATCATCATCGAGCACCCCCGAAATATTTTAAGATATAGGAAATTTCAGAACATCATAGTGAATAAACAACAAGAAAACCATGATGGATAGATGCAGATTAACCATATTTTGCAAGTAGGAAATTGTGGAACCTACGAGAAATAGCAAGAATCTATAGTTCAGAATCTGCTAGTCCAGAGGTACCTCTTGGTGTCGCATCCTTTCGTATTCCCTATGCCATGGTTAGAGAAATAGAGAATCATAGTGGATGCATGGCTGGTGCTGAAGTAAATGTTCAAAAATTAAGAGAACAAAGACGCCTCACTTGAAAATTTTTCACGGCAGAAATCAAGACTGAAGTCTATATAATGATGTATGCAGTACAGCTCAAGCAGTCAACACGGTATCTTGCAACTAAAATTATTTCTTTAGAAATGAAAAGATAAAAAATTCTGACTTTAAGCGCATTGCATTGAAATCCGATTCTCACTCACTTGGTGAACATAATCACACTCAGGGTAGAAGGAAAATTCCAAAGGCAAGACTCAGAAGATACCGGAGACAAAGATTCACAATATTCTTCACAGTTCACACAGAGTCTCGAGCACAAACACCGTATCCTGAAACACTCGAACTCGTTCTACACGCTCGAACACCAAACTCGAAAAGAGAAAGCAGATAGTTTGAGTTCACGCTACAGTGTCGAGTTCTTTCTACACCATGAATGAGATGCCAGGAGATTCTGAGAGTGAAGACAAAGGAGAAGATCGATCGAGGACTTGGAGCGGCGGCAGCAGGGGTGTGATAGATTTATAAGGTTAGACACAGCCAAGCGAACGTTGTGGGAATTCGGAGATAGGGTTTCTCCATGATTATTAATTAACTACTACCTCATGTCTTTAATATAAGACCATTTTTTATTTGATCTTAATTATAAGATCCCAATCTATTTTTTCTTTCATATTTATGCATTTTTTCCAAGATAGTCCTTCTAATAATAATAGTTCTAACCAATACACTTAATTAGTAAGGATATTTTAGGAATGACAACACTTATTTATTACAAATAACTAACTTAACTTACTTCCTTAATCCCCTCAAATAAGTCAACTGGGTCTTATAATTAGGACCGGAGGTAGTATTAATTATTAATTGACTGATAAACAAATCGTGAAGGTAGACGTGTCATAGTTTGAAGCTTATTTGGAGATAGAGTTATTGTTCGCCATCACAATTAAAATCACCTATAAGTATATTTTATGTAAATCAAGATAAAACTTTTCTTACATATTTACTTTATATTCTGTAAATTACGATTGAAAAACTACTTATGAACTATTCTAAATATGTCCTGAAAATTGTTTGGGTAAGCTTTGGCAAAAAATTTATTGGCATGGAACGCGAAGAATTTGAGCTTTTGGTATTTGTAACCTAGAGAAAGAGGGAATAAAGATGAAAAAAGAAGATAAGAGTATTTAAATTGGTCCTATCTTGACCCACTAATTTTAGTTTTTTTTTAAGATGAAAAGAATTAACTAATAAAGTTTAATTAATTTAATTTATTACTTTTCTAAAATTTATCAACTTGTATACATATTATATATTAACTATACATATCATATATTACCTTGACTCCTTAAGATAAGATCTTAAAAGATTAATTTGAATAGATTAAGAAAGCTAAAAAAATTACTTAATTATATTATATGTTACAGGATATCTCTAAAACTTCTAAAACACTTATGTATATTATTAGTTACATATTAAACTATAAGTCAAACAAATGAATTTGTACAAAAATGATAAATATAAATAGTTTAAAATAATTTATTTAACTTCATTAATCTTTTCAAATTAGTTAATTAAGTTTTATATTAAGAACTAGAGGTAGTATATTATAAAACTCAAATCTTTTTTAGTCACGTTATATATAAACTTACTTTTTTATTATCAATTCAAACAAGTTTAAATTTATCAAATGACTTTTATAAAAGTCAATCTAAACATAATTATATTATACTAACTGACTTTTATCCTAACTTACATTTAACGTGCTCGTTTTAAAAAATTGAGAAAATAGGGTTAAAATTTTTTAATTAATCTCTCTTACTCTTTGCTCTTACATTTTCTCTTTAGCAAAATTTTAGAACTCCACTTCTGTGTTCACTATTTTTTTTTTTCCCTCTTTTCTTTTATTTCTCTCTTACCAAACTCTACGGGGAAAAAGTGGATTAGTAGGTAGAGCTTTTAAAATGAATGCTAAGTGGTCTCGCTATTTACTTTTCAAAAGCCCACTGCTACTACGGATATATCTGGATTAGTAGGTAGAGCTTTTAAAATGATTTTTTATTTTGGCTACAAAAATTGTTCTCAAATGTAGAATTCACAAATAGCAGTATAACACACATTGTAACATGTAAAGTTGAAAATCATTATAATCATTTAAAAGGTAAATTAAAAACATAAAACATTATATATATACACACACTATAAAATTTGATCATTTAATTTAAAGTATTACCATTACGTAAACTAAAAAAAAACATAGTTACATTAAATAAAAAAACTTTAATTTTTAAATAACATCAAATTTCGATCATAAAATTAGACTATTTGGAGCATGACATTTAATAATTCTTTTAAAAAAATTAAATCTCTCTGTTAATCTATTATCTATTAGTCTATTAGTTATATAATAGGATGGACGCTAGTAGGTTCACTGCATGACATCTAGCCACACACTAGGGGATCTACGTTTCTTGTATCGCTACTTGCGGCGTGTCCACCCGTTTTTGTCACTTTTGTATTATGTTCGGTCCTGCCATAAGTTCTCCATGGTTTCTTCACGATTTCCATTATCTCGCAGCGTCGTGGGGAGTTATAGGGTTTCCCAGTCGTGAGTGCCATAAGTGGTGGGCGATGAACTGACAGTTTCCTAAAATTGCCTCGATTCAATCACATTTGTGCTCAGCAGTTTCCGTCTTCGATGCTCCCATGGGAGGACCGTGGCTGTTACTTTTACATTTGTCCCCTTGCTTATTGCTCCCTTCTACTTCTTTTTAAAAAGGAATACTTTGTTGTCTCCTTTTGTTCATTTTCACCCAATCTTTTATGCTCCATAGGTCACTGCATCTATATCCTTCTCAATATGGCTGCCTCTTCCTTTGATTTCTCCTCTCCGTCTCTTTGCTTTTTGGCACCGTCTCTTACTGTTTGTACTTCAGCCTCTGTCTGAAACCTTCAATGGTAGCTGCTCCCCAATCAGGCCATTTGTCTTCTTGATTTATCTTTCTCAGTTTTTTACTTCATCCTCGCTCACCTTCTTGATTTTTTTTTTCCTTTTACGGTCTTTGTTTTCTCAAACTCTTCTATCACCTACAGATACGTCCTCTATGCCGTATTTTCCTTTCGGGCTAATCCTACAGTCAAGGCCGAAAACTCTCGGTACCACCGAATTGATAATCCCGATGGTGTTATTCAGCTTGGTTTGGTTGAAAACAAGCAGAATGGATAATCCCAATAATGTTGTTCAGCTTGGTTTGGCTGAAAACAAGCGGAATTGATAATCCCAATGGTGTTATTCAGCTTGGTTTGGCTGAAAATACCATATCGTGATAATTATTACTTGAAAAATGAGAAACTTAAGACTAACCATGGGCCGGCCAGTGTAGTAGAAATAGAGATGCAATAACTTTTAAAGTGAAATTCCGGTAGATACCGGCCTGTCATTTTGAAAAGTTCCGGTCAAAGAAGGATAAAAATGAAAATTGTGCTTGAAATTCCTGAAAATTTCTAAAATTTTATAAAAAATAGAATAAAGGCTCTAGAATAATATTTAAAGCCTAAAAGGTAAAAACAAAGTAAAAATAATTTATTTTAAAATTTTTTGTAATTATTGGTATTTTTAGGTAATTAAGAAAAAATTAGGCAAAATGAATTATTTCAAGCAAAACCCTCATTGTAAAATTATTCTTGACCTCTGAAAGTATAGAAGTTAGCTTTAAAATATTTAAAGTCGAGTCAATAAAAGACCGATTTCAAAAAAAATTAAATAGGAGGAGTTACAGGTCAAATTTTGACCTAAGAAAAATTGGTGAACCTCTCCTTATTAAAAGAAAGTTATTGGCTTAGGTAAATAAATTTTTAGAAATATTAGATTAGACAGGATCTAGGAAAAATTTAATCAAATTGAGAGATTATACACTGGAATAATCCAAGGCTTGGTGGGATAAAATTTTTCCCAATTTTTCTACTTATTTTGGCACCAAATTGGAAGAGGAGGACATGGATGGAATTATACGATTTGTCTAGGGGCATAATTGAAAGTGGATAAATTATAATAAAATATTATTTTATAATCACAAGATTAATAAGTGGCGTGACATTTGGCATGATCATAGAGGATAAGACAATATCAAGGAACAAGTGTACAAGGGAATTATAATATTTCACCAAGGGCAAAATAGGAAAATCAAGTAAAAAATTTGTCCATAAATACCCCATAATTCATTAATTTGGCCAAAAAGGGAAAAATTGGGGGAGAAGTTTGCTCTTGAAATTGACAAAAAGAAAGAGGAATAAGGAAGGACAAGGACAAAGGATCATCAAGCAATCATCCAAAGTAAGCCAAAGCACTCATTAAGGATTTAATTATCTTGATTAGTGCATAATTTGGAATTGATTTGGATAATTAGAAATGGCTAAAACCCTAGGGAAACCATGCTACCCAAAATGTCATATGATGTGATATGAATTATCTAAGAATGGTATATGGATTAGAGGATAGTAAATGGTTGGAAATTGGTGTTTTAACTTGGTTTTTGAAAGAATTATAACTTGTGACATTGTTGCACCCTATTCAGTCAAATTTGGTTAGTGAGGCTAGGGTTTGATTCATGTTAATTTGATGCTTCTAATGAATTTAAAAGATAAAATTTTGTAGGACTATGTGGAGAAAATATGTTTGGAAGTATTACAATTAAAAATAAAAATTTTGAATTCTAACCCCTATGTTTTGGCCAAGTAGGGATTAATGGGAAAGAATTGGATTTTAATAAACTAAGCTCAAATATGGATTTTACATGAAAAATCATGTAGGAAAAACATATGAGAGTTATGTTAAGAAAGATTATGCAAAAACACTAAAATCTAGGATTTTAAGTTAGGAGTTTAATGGAATTGTTAAGTTGATTTAGAATACCCTTGTTATGTAAATAATAGGCACTAAATTTGAGCAAAAAGAGGCTCAAGAACAAGCAAAGAGAACTAAGGAGTAAAGCTTATTAAGAGGTAGTAAGAACTTACAATTTTATTGTTGAATTCGTTGATTATGCTATGTGTGCTATATGCTATGATGTGGTTGAGATGTATTTCAGCAAGAAGAGGCTCAAGAACTGCACAGGAAGGAAGTTCTAGCAGTGGAAGGAAGAGGAAGAGGCCTAGCTTGGGCAGAAGGCCTAGAAGATGGGGTAATCTAGGAGGCTTTAACATAATCATGATGGCCAAGGTTTGTGAATGGTATGGAAAGGATCATGGAGATTGACTATGTTTGATGGGTTAGAATATGTGCTACTGATGTGGAGAGTTGGATATTTTGCTAGGGAGTGTCTGCAGAGTGGAGATGGTTCGAGACTACAAACACAAGGCAGCGGCACGTGGTTCGAGACATATAGCTTGATATGCTTTGCTTTTTTAATATTTTAGTTGTGGTTCTTTGCTACTGAAATTTTTATGAAATCTTTCTCCCACTATGCTTAAATCAACACCATTTAGGGGCTACAAATGCAAAACAAAAAGGCAAGGAAGTGGCATTA